CACCCACCCACAGCTACTCACTCACACCACCTACACCCACACCCACACCCACACCCACACCCACCCACACCCACACCCACACCGTCAGATATAGCGGTAGAAAGGCATCGTCACTGTGAAGAGAACGAGTTGACATGAATTTTATTCTCTTATTTCTTATCTATGGGCTCAGTCGTAATTCTTCTGATTGTTGAAGAGTCAAAAAGCGTCGCTCCTACTTTTGGATGGATACGCACGTGGGTTTGGGTGTGTGGCCGTTGATGAGAGGGAGTGGATGTGGGGTGTGGGAATACGCTGTTTCGTTATTCTCACCCGCACTCACACGCCGACACACTCCATCCGTTCTCACACCCATACTCATCCTACACTCCAAGGTTACGTTTCAGAGACAAGCAGACGTCATTGAAAACTGAAACTTTAGTTTCGTAGGCATAATGGGTAGGCAATGTTCGAAATACAAAACCAAATGTTACTGTCGATCATGTTCGATTCTCAAACGAAAACCACAACACCAGCAACAAGCTCGACCAGCTGACACTGCTGAAGCAGCTTTTTCTTCCTCTTTCTCTTTTACTGCAACCACAATTGCTTCATCAAGTTCAGGCAGTCCCATTTTTCTTCTTAGTGATAAGCTGTGTACTCGATATAAAGATATACTTGGGTGATCGTTTGGATAAACTTTCCGACTGATCTCCAGAGCTTTCTCGAAACATTCTAAAGCTCTCTGGTGGTCTTGTTGAGATATGCTCAGACGCCCGAGATTACCGTAAACAGTAATCATTGAAGGATGACTTTGTGAGGTTATTGCATTTTGTAAATAGACTTCTAAGGCTTTTTCATAATAATCTAAAGCCTGTACGTTGTCAAGTTTTCTTTCATAGGCAAGCCCCATGTTGTTATAGACAGTTGCAAGACTTAGACGATTCACTGAATGAGATTTTTGATAAATCTCTAGTGCCTTTTGCTGATATTCTAATGCTAAATCATAGTCTTCTCGAAGAGTATGAATGGAACCGAATCGAACATAAGTTGTTCCAATATCAGAATGATCGGCAGACAACGACTGTAGTTGAATTTCTAGGGCTTTCTGGTAATTATTTTTTGCTTCTAAATAATCACCTCTGCCCTCAAACGCTATTCCAATATTCAGATATGCCTTTGCTATCAGTGGATGATTTGTCTCGAGGTTCGTAAGTCTTATTTCCAGCACTTTCTTATACATGTTTAGAGCATTTAAGAAATCGCCTCGGTGACAATGAATAGTGCCAATGTTTGCATATGTCGTAGCAAGTTCAGGATGCAACTCAGGCAAGTTTTTTTGAAGTTCGAGCGCTTCGTTGTAGTTTTTTAATGCTTCTTCGTGTGCGCCCTTTTTATGATGAACGAGGCCAATATTACTGTATGTTATTGCTATCGACTCCTCGGATTTTGAATCGGCTTTCAGTTTAATATCAAGTGATTTTTGAAAATTAGCTAGTGCAGCACGATAATCATCTCTTTCGTAATATATCATACCAATATTATTAGTAATTGCTGCTAGATCCTGATGATTATCAGGTAAATGTTTTGACTCAAGCTCAAATGCTTGTTCGAAATGCTTTAGAGCTTCAGCGAAGTTGCCTTTGCAACTATATAACCAGCCAATATTGTTTTTCAACATGCCTTCTTCGATGTGATCCGGTTGTTGTATGTCGCATGGCATTTGATAAAAACGAACAGCTCTATCATAGTCTCCAATATCACTAAGCATATCTCCAAGAGTCAAATTGTCTGCGATTTCTCCAAAACTATTTTTATAGTGATCAATTAGTTGTCGAAGTTGAGGATCTTCCACTTCACATGCAGTAAGCTTTATTACCCATAGACGTTGGAAGCCATTCCATTCCATTAAGTCGATACGAAATATCATTCCTAAAGATAATAGTATTTCTCCTTCATCAAAAAAATGGCTTATGTGAGTGATATCAGCATATGGTCTTGTTTGAATATGAGGCGAAAGTGTAATTTCGAACAAAGTATTTTGAAGAGTGTCTTCTAGATTTAAGGAAGCATCAGCGAACATTAAAGCTATGGTTCTGTCTACAGTCGTTGATACAAAACTGTTCATTATAATAAAACCATTGACAGATTTTTTCAGAAACTCAATCTCATCTTTGCTGGTACGAGTACCTCGATACGCCGTTATAGTCCGTGAAGAACGGATACTAGCAGAATGCTCGGCTTTCAGTTGATTGTACAGGTCTCTGATATAGAACCTAAGTTTAAAAATTAATTCAATGTCACCCGTCCGCAGAGTTTTATTAACAGTACGAAATATAAATGAATCGCGTGTGTACCAATGAATGGCTAGGTCAGGCGTGTAGGATTCTTTAAATTCGTTGATTTGACTCAAAATAGATGCATTATCTTTATAAATTTCTTTACACGTATGTAGTGTTTCGTTGATAGCATTCATTGTGACAGGTATACGGAGTAAAATTTCGATAAGAATTTGCGACCACATAAACGAATTGTTGCCTTGTTTTAAAATGTGCGTCGAATGTTCTCCCGAGTCAATAGTATAAAGATCAACATTACCAATAGGTCTAAGCACACTCATTGTTCCTTGTCCTTCTCTCCATCTGTAGACATCAAGATGGAGTTTCTGCAGCAGAAACGTAATGTCCTTGAATTCATTATTGACTGGAAACAATGAAACTATGGTCGAATCTTTAGCTGGATTTGAACCGTATAAATCTGATTTTTCAGCAGGTTTAGTGGCGAACCAATCATCATTAGGCAGCCTTTCTCTGTGTTGGTCAGACGTTGTTGAACTAGGTTCCGTTTTTGATTGGACCAGTCGATACATGTGAATATTTATGAGATGGCTATCTACGTTGGGAAAGTCATGCAAGTTTGTTGTCAGAGTTGGATTGTAGACAAAGAAGACGCTTTTTGTTTGTACATTTGATATATGCATGATACATTCTTTAGCATTAGAAAAAAATTTAATATCATCTACTAAACTGGTCAAATGAGACGGTATTTGAGATTTATCGATCTGATGCTCGTCAAGCCAAATTATTTCAAAATCTTGGTTGGTGATTTGTTGCAACAACTGCTGTTGGTGTTCTTGTTCTTTCTGTTGTTGCGCTGCTTGTTCTTCCGAAGTCTGACGCTGGATAGTAGCTGGTGGTATAAGCGAAAGAGTAACATCTGCTATGTCAGCTGTTGCTAATGCTTTAGTAGTGGTAGTTCGACTACCACTATGCTTGCAAGATGGTCCACATCCCATTTTTATCGCTCTAGATAATGTTCTTCGTACCCGACAGTGTAATAGGCGTACGAAAGAAATGTATTCTGTCGACTATTCTATAGCCGATTACGCGGAGCCATAAGCAGTAGAATATGTTATCAAGACTGCGTCACTATTTTATATTTACCAACGGTCTCGTTTGTGTTATTTTTTCTGTTCCTTTTCTTTTCCTTTTCTTTTCCTTTTCTTTTCCTTTTCTTTTCCTTTTCTTTTCTTTTTCTTTCTTATTATGCTCATAAATGTAACACCCGGAAGTGCTTGCATAATAATATAAGGAGAACGTATAATAATTGAGCACTGAGCAACAACATAAATACAATGATTTTTATCATCATCGACAACATCTTTGTGTCGTGTAACTTCATCTGGCGTATGGTGTAAGAAAGTAAATAGAAGACAGAAAAAAGAGAAGAATACAACGAAAAAGAAAGGATAAAAAATGGAATGCATCCAAAAAGGCATAAAGCAAAAATAGAGTAAGAAGAGCAGAGAAAACGACAGCGAAGGAAGGTGTACGTCGGTATTTCAAGGCCAGAAAAAAATACAAAATAAAAAAGGAGAAAGAAAGAAAAAGAGTAGGGATGAGAAAGTTACCCAGTCAGACAAGCGTTGAAAAAAACGACGTTTTTACGCGTAAAAATCGCACATTTTCTAG